AAGGAACACATCTTCAGCTTCACTGAGACAGATAACAGCTGCTCTGCGTGACGTCAGCTCACTGACAGATCAACACGGCATTGATAAGCAACTGTTTTAAAGATTTGCTTGTTTTTATTTTTTAATAGCAACCTTTTGTAACTATAACGACAGAAAAAAAGCCTGCAGTAACCTGTAGTATTCTGAACACCATCAGCCAAGACAATTTGCTATTATGAGTCATTCAGAAATGACATAAAAACAATGCCAACCAGCAGTTTAACACATTCAATATTTTGCACAAACAGAAATATTTATCCACTAAAAAGGACGCAATTCTGCACCGTTTGTAAGGGTTCAGCTTACACTTCTTATAACAAGGTTATAAGAGTAATTTAATTAGCAAGGATCTCTTTTATTTTTGGATAAACATTTCTTTAGTGCAAAAATGAATGGACACAAAAGTAACTCTCAGTCAGTGAATGTTGATTTGAACCATAATATGCGATCATTTATTTTACAAATCATATAAATTTAACTAGAGTACACCTGATTGTGAACAATTAATTTCATATAAAGTTTTGGGACCAACAATAACAAGCTTTTAACTTCTTAATTGTTAACCACACTTAAATAGAAACACAAACGTCAGTTTAGATGTTAAACACCAGACATTTGAGGCTGTTCATCTTAGGAGTTGGCAAGGAAGAGGTTAAGGAAAAAGGAGGAAGAAAGATGTTAGCTTTCTTATACTTTATCTTAAATAATGTGGGTTTAAGCAGAAGGGCGAAGCGTTCTGAAGACCTCGACGTCACACACAGCCAGCTTTTACCTTGAGATGATGTTCTTCTTTTTTCTGTTCGTTTTCTGTTCTATTTGTTTTGTTTTTTCTAATCTCTTTACTATCATATTATTTTTTTCTCTTATTTCTTTATTTCTAACACAACAAATACTTATACACAGGCGCACAAACCCACACATGCTCATATTCCACAAACCCAAATACTTAATAATAAAACATATGCTTCATTTAACTTCAAACATATCACATACATTTTTATATATCTTACATGCTACATAGGTATTCTCAAAATCTTGACTAATCATCACTCACTGTCAATGACTGTCTCTGAGTGGCCCTACTGTTATGATAACGGGCGTAGTTTGATTTTATTCTCACAAATACTGCGATGGGTTGTTTAAAGTTTGTCACATGGAATATAAACGGAGCCGGTACCCAACAGAAAAGATATAGAATTTTTA